CTCATATTGTGATAAAAAATAAAATTAAAAGATTTTTAAAATTAAAATTGAAATTTAAAAAGATTCAAAAAAAATTAAAATTAAAAGGGTAATAATGGAAATGATATCATCAAATCTTTTAAACACGATCATTATCTTTTAAACACTCATTATTATCATTAGTCTTATCATTATCTAGTAAAACGATTACGAAATAGGTTAGGATTATACTAGGTGTAATAATCATGTGATATGAGTGTGATAATCATGTGATAGGGATGTGATAATCACCATTATATATCACTTGGGTTATCGTTTTGGTTAATAAGTTAAAATTTTGGAGTAATCATGTGATAGGGGTGTGATAATCATGTGATATGAGTGTGATACTTATGTGATAGGGGTGTGATAATCACCATTATACATCACTTGGGTTATCGTTTTGGTTGATAAGTTAAAATTTTGGTGTCATCATGTGATCTGGGTGTGATAATCATGTGATAAGGGTGTGATAATCACTGTTATACATCACTTGGGTTATCGTTTTGGTTGATAAGTTAAAATTTTGGTGTAATCATATAATATGGGTGTGATAATCATATGATATGAGTGTGATACTTATGTGATAGAGGTATGATATGAATAAAAGATGTTAACTAGAAGAAGAAACAGATAACTACCAAGAGTAAAACGTGGAACGTGAAAAGATAATTATGGTTAATTAAATTAAAATAAAATAAAAATTATAAAAATTACTTAATTACATTATTGTCCTTATTAAATTATTTATATATAATAAAAGTTAATTTATTAATTAAAAAAGTTTGAGGTTATTGGGTTGTTTTCGCGTTCTCGTAAATTACAAGGGTTCTCGTTTGAACCTCCACCTATATATATATATATATATATATATGTGCATACCGTATAGATGAACGATTAGTAGAGTCTTCCTCAAATTTATACCTTTAAATATGAAGTGTTTTTTTTAATAAATAAAAATAGAGATATTTCAACGACCCAAAGACAAGTCTTTGAAATTGACCTAAACACGAGGTTTGAATTAAAAAAAAAAGAAAAAAGAAAATATGAAGCAGCCTTGACGGTGGATTCTTCTAGTTGGTCAAAAATGGTCCCAACCTAATTTGATCACATGCTCTGAATTTAAAACATATATTTTATTATTATAATTAATAATTATACAAGACTTGTCCCTCAACTATCTTCGATAATGACGGTTTTGTCCCTAGATTGTTTTTTTGATCCTAAACGAGCTTAAAGTTATTTGTTTTCCGTTAATGTCGATCAATCGAAGTTCCTAATTGAGTGTTTCGTTAGTGATTTTAGTAAAATTATCGGTCTATTTTATGTAATTGGATTTACAAGAGAATATGAGGTCACTAATTAAAGCTATAACATGGTCTAAGAGATGTGGATGGACACTTATGTGATCTTAACTAGAAGTTAGGATCACTGAATGGCGACATATTGCAGAGGTTCGGGAGGCTGTTCCCTCTCGTGGGGTTGCCCCTAGTATGTCAACAACTGATCAGAATCGGGTGATGAAAACTACCACTGATATATGTATCAAATGATAGTTATCAACTGATGAGTTATTAGCTAATGGTTTCCGACTGATGGGACATCAATTGATGAATGTTTTCCATCAGTTCCATAACTAACTGCCATCTAACGACAATCGATTTTGAAAACAATTTGATTTAGATAACAGTCAAAGACAGTTTCGTTACATAAAAAAGTAATCAAAGATCTGTGTATATCTTACCCAATCCAGCTCTGTTTTTCATCCGGTTTCAAGGGACTATTTTTGCAATTAAGTCATTTTGTGTTTATCCCTTGTTCTAGAACCAGAGAGAGAAATATCTTGCAACAATAATTCAAATTACCCACCAAGGTGTGGTGTGGGTTCCTTCTCATGAATGGAGCTTGGCCGCCTCAAACTTCTTCAAAGAAAATTGGATTCAACATGTTCAGACAACTACATCTCTAATCTTGCCTTCTCCCATATAAATATCGCATTCTTCAATCTTCTTCATAGAAAAGCTACCTTCTACTTGTCTTTCCCTACATTATCAAGATAATCCACATTGATCTTGAATCTCAAAGATCAAGTTCTTGAAAAACCTACTTCCATTTTGGAGTCATTCTTGATAAGTTGTGAGTTTTTAAGTCGATAGGTGAATACCCATATCAAATTTTCGGTTCTTTTAGGGGAATTTGAGGTTTTCTTGGCCTAAAGCACAACACCCACAAAGATTTTCAGTTCTTTTTGGGGGAATTTGAGGGTTTCTTGGCCTAAAGAACAACACCCACAAAGATTTTCGTTTCTTTTAGGGGGAATTCAAGGTTTTCTTGGCCTAAAGAACAAGACCCACAAAAGATTGTTCGAATCTTGGGGGTTTTGATCAGTGGGTAGTAAGAATGGATGGAGGTGATATATACAAAGCAGCTAATAGCATAAGGTTAGGGAGCTTAAGAGCAACAAGTGGAAGAGCATCAAGTTTAAGATCTGGGAGTACTTCAGTATGGAGGAATTCTGGTATGGATGTTTTCTCAAAATCTTCTCGTGAAGATGATGATGAAGAAGCTCTCAAATGGGCTTCTCTTGAAAAGCTACCGACGTTTGATCGTTTAAAGAAAGGTTTGCTGTTTGGATCAACTGGACCATCCAACCAAGTTGATGTAGACAATCTTGGAACAGATGATCGAAGACATTTACTCGATAGGCTTGTTAAGGTTGCTGATGAAGATAATGAGAAGTTCTTGTTGAAGCTCAGAGATAGGCTTGATAGGTTTACCCAACTTCCCTCATTCTCTTTTTTCATTTACCACCTCAGGGACTCGACACTCGGTGACTGGGGGCGATCTGTACCCTCGCCCCCCCCACCACCACCACCACCACCACCACCACCACCACAAACAACTGGGGACGATTTCTGCCCGTCTAGCCTTAGTTGGACGAGGGCGTGATGAACATCTCTAACGGTTATCTTATAGTTTTTCTAAAATAGAATATCAAAAGTCACAATCTTTAAAAAAATTTACATCCAATTTTAACTACTACTCTGTTTTAGCAATTTTACCATTAACTATATTACTAAAATATTCAATATATTTTTATAAAATATTATTTCTATTTAAATATTATTTTTCCTTAAATCTACAAAAATTTCTATTTTAGCATAGCTATTGGAGATGCTATTAGGCTCTTGGAGTCCCATGCCGGCTAGAATTGATCATTTTTCTTTGATATATGTTGGAACTTGGAACCTCTCCAGCTTTTTGGGAGAATAATCTAATAGGGTTTCACATATTTTCAGACGTTTATGATCATGTGTTAATGGGTTGATTGGGAATGTTACAGGGTTGGGATCGATTTGCCTACAATCGAAGTCAGATTCGAGAATGTAACCGTGGAGGCGGATGTTAATACCGGAAGCCGAGCCTTACCTAGTTTCATAAACTTCCACATTGATGTTTTTGAGGTAAGAAACCACAATCAACAGACATGTTTGATCATTTCAGATGATCTTTTGGAGATTATTCATGATTCTTAATTTCTGTTCATATGTTTATGTCTCATAGGGGATCTTGAACTTATTCCATCTACTTCCGAATTCGAAAAGGCATATAACCATCCTTGATGACGTTAGTGGCATCGTTAAGCCTAAAAGGTAAGAAAGAAGAACATAAACCCCCCATGAATATAACTTCCTTTGGTTGCTTTCCAAATCCGTTATTTGTACTGATTTTTAATGTAACAATGTTTGTAGAATGACGTTGCTTTTGGGTCCTCCGAGTTCCGGGAAGACGACACTTTTGTTGGCCTTGGCTGGGACACTGGCAAAGGAGCTTACGGTAAAATATTGATCCCTTTATGGCTTCATATCTTGATTACCTATTTGGTTTGGTCTCCCATTTTCTAGAATTTTTGAAGTAAAATGGTTTTGTAAATGTAGTGCTCCGGTAAGGTGACGTATAACGGTCATGAGTTACACGAGTTTGTACCGGAGAGAACTTCAGCTTACATCAGTCAAAATGATGTCCACATTGGAGAAATGACCGTTAGAGAAACCTTGGCGTTCTCTGCAAGATGCCAAGGCGTTGGCTCACGTTATGGTGAGTTGGAGACCATTCTTATTTCATTGTTATTGACTTCTTTCTAAATCATATAGAGGGTTAAAATGGTAAATTCCTGTCCTTCAGATTATCCATTCAGAGAACTTACCAAATAGACATCGTTGAGGGTCTGTTTGTTAGTAACTTAATAAGCTTAATGGGACTCACATCTTATTTGGTCAGTTATACATGAGTGTTTGGCTTAATGATATAGAAAGTGGCTTATTTCGTTAAAGGAACTTTATGGAGAAAGCCAAGTTTTTTTTCTAAACCTGCACCTCCCAAATTACAAAACACGTTCCTTCCATCTATGAGAAGAAACCATCCCAAACAAAAACCTTCCCAATCTACAAAGGTACAAGACTTAATGGACCCAAACAACCCCTAAATCATAAAGAGCTTCTTAATCATTTTGACCACTTAATCATTCAGTATCTGCCGAACAACCCCTGAATAGAGTTTTGTATAACACAATTCATATGGTTTGTCCAATAAATTGCAGAGATGTTGGCCGAGTTGTCAAGAAGAGAGAGAGATGCAAACATAAAGCCTGATCCCGACATTGATGTCTTCATGAAGGTAAGAAATGAGCTACATTATCCCTGATTCATCGATCTCTTGAATCAACATCGAACATTTTGAATCCTTCATGATTAAAATTCTAAATCTTTATCGTTGTTTTGCTGTTATTAAGGCTGCTGCAACCAAAGGTCAAGAAGCTAGTGTGGTCACAGATTATACTCTGAAGGTATGATAGATTCTATTCCAATTCCTGCCAACCAAACGCAAATATGATTCCAATTCCTTTCATAGATTCCATTGCTTCAGAAACATTCTGCGAACCAAATGCCACCTAAGATCTAATGTAAATGGTTTCTTGTGCAGTTATTGGGGTTGGACATATGTGCAGATACAATGGTCGGGGATCAAATGATAAGGGGAATCTCCGGTGGACAAAAGAAGCGTGTCACAACAGGTAGAATCACGTTTTCTTCTTCTTCGGAAAAGCTAGTTCTTTTGGTTATATGTAGGCTTAACGGGAAAATGTTACAGGTGAAATGATAGTTGGACCATCTAAGGTTCTTCTCATGGACGAGATATCAACCGGGTTGGATAGTTCTACCACGTTTCAGATCGTAAATTCACTTAAACAATTTCTTCACATTCTCGAAGGAACTGCCGTCATTTCACTCCTCCAGCCTGCACCGGAGACTTATGATTTGTTTGATGATATTATACTCTTGACTGATGGAAAGATCGTATATCAAGGCCCGCGTGAAAATGTGCTCGAGTTTTTTGAATCAATGGGATTCAAATGCCCAGAGAGGAAAGGTGTTGCCGATTTCTTGCAAGAAGTAAGTACTCCGTCTCCTATGTGGAACCCCATTAGATTACTCTTAAAAGGAGCCCTTGAGGATAGAAGGGAGGTTGCAACATGTAATAAGGGCAAAATGATCCAAGTTTAGCTGATGTGGGCCTCTAACACGCCCCCTCCAACAGATGCTAGACGGGCACATATTGTTCCAAAGTGTCAAGAGGGGTATAGATGAGTGCATATTGCCCCAAAGGGTCTAGTCCCTAGAGTGGTAGACTTTGGCTCAGATACCATGTGAGAATATGTTGAACCCCCAGGTTACTCTCCAAAATAGCCATTGGGGAGAGGAGGTTCCAACTTCTAACATATATTGAGGATAAATGGTCAAAGTCTAGCTGATGTACGCCCCCTTTAATGGAGGCTAGACGGGCACAAAGTATCCCAAAGTGTTAAGAGGGGGCAAGACGAGTAAAGATTTCCCCAAAGTGTCAGGTCCCTAGAGTGGTAGTCCCCAGGGCCTGTTTGTTAGTAGTAGCTTAATGAGCTTAATTGGACTCACAACTTATTCGGTTTGCTATACATGATTGTTTGGTAGTGACTTAATGATACAAAAAGTGGCTTATTCAGTAAGCTTCTAGGGGATGCTTTATGCAGTAAGCCAATTTTTTTTTCCAAACTTGTCTCTCCCAATTAAAAAAACACGCTCATTCCATCTATGAAAAACCCTCCCAAGCAAAAATCTTTCCAACCTACACAGACAGCTTTATCCATATAGGACTTAATGGAAAACCAACCAAACAGCCTCTTACTGTGTTTTTCCGTCCCTTTTTGTGACATTTTTGTGCCTGACGTAATGTTGAAATCGGGTTACAGGTGACATCAAAGAAAGATCAGCAGCAGTACTGGATGAAAAGAGACGAGCCATACAGATTTGTGACCGCCAAGGAGTTTGCAGAGGCATACCAATCGTTCCATGTTGGAAGGAAATTGGGAGACAATCTCTCTACCCCATATGACAAAAGCAAAAGCCACCCTGCTGCTCTAACACATGAAAAGTATGGTCTGAATAGCAAGGAACTCTTGAAAGCTTGCACCGATAGAGAAATATTGCTCATGAAAAGAAATTCCTTCGTTTATTTCTTCAAACTGTTCCAAGTAAGTTTCTAATCTTTCAGAGACTTGGGTCTGTCTGTTAACAGCTTAATGAGCTTAATGAGACTCGCATCTTATTCAGTCAGTTATACATGACTATTCGGTAGTGGCTTAATGATATAGAAAGTGACTATTCAGTAAGCTTCTAAGGGGAACTTTATGCAAAGAAGCCAGGTTTTTTTAAACGTACCCTCCCACTTAAAAAACACGCTCTTTTCATCCATTAAAAAACCCTTCCAAACAAAAATCTTCCCAATTTATACAGACAGATTAATCCACACAGACATCTTTATCCATATAGGACTTGTATTTGGGCTCCTTATAAGCTCAAAGTTGTAGGCTACCAATAACTTCCACCATGGTTTTAAATTGATTTGGAGGTTACTGGGTCAATTCGATCTCAAAGTTCTAACAGAAGTCATTCTTCATTGGTTGGTTTCAGCTAACTGTCATGTCACTCATCGCTTTGACCGTGTTTTTACGAACTGAGATGCATAAAGATGATCTAGAAGATGGAGGCTTGTATACCGGTGCTCTATTCTTTGGTGTCGTTATGATCATGTTTAACGGGATGTCTGAGATTTCAATGACGATTGCAAAACTTCCTGTATTCTACAAGCAACGGGATTTCCTCTTTTATCCTTCGTGGGCATATGCTCTTCCATCATGGGTCATCAAGATTCCCGTTTCGTTTCTTGAAGCTGGAGTTTGGACAATTCTTACTTATTATACCATGGGATTTGATCCTAATGTCTCGAGGTAACTATTTTTCGATCAACGCTTCTATCTTTTATCTCTGTTTTCGTGCTTATTTTACTAATGGTTCTCAAACTTTTGCAGATTCTTCAAACACTACTTGATACTGTTACTTGTGAACCAGATGTCTTCGGGATTGTTTCGGTTCATTGGTGCACTGGGTCGGAACATGATCGTTGCAAACACGTTTGGTTCATTTGCAATTCTCGTGGTCTTTGCCTTGGGCGGTTTTGTCCTTGCACGAGGTACTAATTAGTTCAAAAACATATAACGCTTCCTTTTGCTCTTTCTGTCTGTTAGAATCCCACATCGGTTAGATTTCGACCATTTCTCCTCGATATATATTGGGACCTCCCTTCGGCTCTTTTGGAGATTTATTTTGGGGAGTCTGTAACAACTCGTCCCACATGGATAAGAAATGGGATTCGTGAGCTCCTTATAAGCCTCAAGTTGTGGGCTACCTATAACTTTTGCCAGGGTTTTAAGTTGAATTCGAGGTTATTGGGTCAGCCCATTGCTTTGGGCTTCGGGGTGTTAAAGGTCCACATATTTTACACGTATCATAGCCAAAGTCTCGCATTCTAGGGACCTCCCTTCTCTCCTGATCCTCAACGGCTCTTTTGGAGATTAGTCTGGGGGGTCCATATATTCTTACTTATCTAACCCCCTCTCGTCACCCGGGACGATCTGTACCCGTCTAGCCTCCGTTGGAGGGGGCATGTTAGAATCCGAGGCACGGCTAGTTGCTAAAGCCCGGCTAGCGACTAGATGTGCCTAGGACATGGTGATACGGGTATTGCAAAGAGGTACGGCCACTGATCGATGAAAATGTCCCATGAATTGGCATCGGCTAGACTTGGACCATTTCTTCCTAATATATGTTTGAATCTCCATTCTCTTCTCAACGACTCTTTTGGAGATTAATTTGGGGGTTTCACACGGTATAGTGTTAACTAACAAATCGTCTTTCGTCATTGAAGAGGATGTCAAGAAATGGTGGTTGTGGGGATACTGGTCATCACCCATGATGTACGCAATGAACGGAATCGCTGTTAACGAGTTTCTTGGGCATAGTTGGAGAACAGTAAGTCACTATGCTTCCATTTATCACATTTTATCATACGAATTGATTATGCAATCTTACAATTTGAAATGCTTTTTATATCACAGCCTTTGAACGGTACAACGCTAGGGACATGGGCTATCACGGGCCGGGGGTTCTTTGCGGAAGCTTACTGGTATTGGATCGCGGTTGCGGCCTTGCTTGGATTCATTTTCTTCTTCAATCTCATTTTCGCGTTGTCTCTTGCCTTCCTTAACCGTGAGTTTTCTTATCTTCGGAATTTTGTTATAAATTCTATCGTCTTTTTGTAACATTCGTTTTCGGGTTTGGATTCTACAGCTTTTGGGAAAGCTCAAGCTAATGCATCAGCAGAAGATGAAGGCAATGCAGGAGCCGTTGAGTTATCATCTACAAAGAAGGAATCGAAAGATGAGGGCAGTCAAAACAAGAAGAAAGGAATGATTCTCCCGTTCGAACCACATTCAATTACCTTCGATGATGTTAAATACTCGGTTGATATGCCACAGGTAACCGACACCTCGTTATACTTGTATATGGTTCTGTTCCCATGAGCACAATGCAACGAAATCGGCTTTATAGGACGCCAAAGATGTCTAAGGACGTGTTTGTTAGCAGCTTAATGAGCTTAATAGGACATGTTTGGTCTTATAAAACTGAAGTATTATAAAGCAGCCTATTAGGACATTTAAACGTATTTGGTGTCTTATAAAGCCGACTTTGTTGTAGTGGCAAGATGAGGTTTTTACTGATATGTTTGTGAAAACTATTGTAGGAAATGAAAGAGCAAGGGGTTGGTGAAGACAGATTGCTGCTACTTAAGGGTGTTAGCGGAGCTTTCCGGCCCGGTGTTCTCACGGCACTAATGGGGGTGAGTGGTGCCGGAAAAACTACTCTTATGGATGTGCTCGCTGGTCGGAAAACTGGTGGGTATATCGACGGTGACGTCAAGATCTCAGGGTATCCAAAGAAACAAGAAACCTTTGCTCGGATTTCTGGCTATTGTGAGCAAAATGACATCCATTCTCCTCATGTTACTGTTTACGAGTCTTTGCTTTACTCGGCCTGGCTCAGGTTGGCATCGGATGTTGATGAAAACAAAAGAAAGGTTGGTTACCCGTGTTCAATGTATGTATGGTTTACCTCTATTAGATGCGTTTTAAAACCGCGAGTCCAAGTATTGACAAAGCGGACAATATCTGGTACGGTTGGCCTGAGATGTTATAGTTGGTGTCAGAGCTGGTAAAACCGTACTAGTGCCAGCGAGGACGTTGGGCTCCCAAGGGGGTGGATTGTAAGATCCCACATCGGTTGGGGAGGGAACAAAGGTTGCTTTATAAGGGACTGGATACCTCCTCTTTCAGACGTGTTTCAAGACCATGAGTCGGGGTGTTTGTCAAAGCTGTTTGACAAAGCTGACAATATCTGGTACGGTTGACCTAGGATGTTACAATTAGTAAATTACTAAACTACCCATGTCAAATTAAAACCCTAAAACCTTCCAGAAATCTTTCATCAGCCAACCTCACTCTCGCCCATTCAATCCCGTACACATCCCACACACAATGAAAGCTCGTTTTTTTTTTCCTAGTTAAGGTTTCTAAGAATGTTAAATGGTGTTGTTTACAGATGTTTGTTGATGAGGTGATGGATCTTGTGGAACTCAACCCATTGAAGGATGCACTTGTCGGGTTGCCCGGAGTCAACGGCTTGTCAACCGAACAGCGAAAGCGGTTGACCATAGCCGTTGAGCTTGTGGCTAACCCGTCCATAATATTTATGGACGAGCCAACCTCTGGGCTAGACGCTAGAGCCGCTGCCATTGTGATGAGAACCGTTAGGAACACCGTGGACACAGGAAGAACAGTTGTTTGCACCATTCATCAACCAAGCATCGACATTTTTGAAGCTTTTGATGAGGTACCAAAATGCACTTCATTAGCATTCAACCACCAATTCATTTGTATATATATATATATATATAGGGTTGAGTTCTGGAGAAAAACACAAAATATAGAGAACACAGGAACATCCTAATAACCACTCATTTGTCGAATATTCACATGTGAATAAAAGAAATTTGTCCGGTCGCTTTTATGCACATGTGTATACCGGACAATTGAATGGTTATCAGGGTGTTCCTCAGTTTTCCCCTAAACCTGAGTCATAATTCAATTTCTTCTACATATCTAAAAACCATCGGTGTGCAGCTCTTCTTGATGAAAAGAGGAGGACAAGAGCTATACGTTGGACCCATAGGTCGCCATTCTTGCGAATTAATCAAGTATTTTGAGGTAAAAACTACCAAATATGAGTATTATAATAAATTGTACCGAGTTTTCTAGTCTAAAAACCCGAATTTTCTGGTGAACCAGGATATCGAAGGTGTAAGTAAGATTAAAGACGGATATAACCCCGCAACATGGATGTTGGAAGTCAGTACTTCAGCTCAAGAAATGTCTCTTGGAGTCGATTTCACTGAAATCTACAGGAATTCAGAACGTTACAAGTGAGTACACGATCAGACAATTCTTACATCGGAATCTTTTTGTTAAAAGATATCGTCTTGTTGACTTGTTGTTGGTCGAAATCGCAGGAGAAACAAAGCTCTTATCGCCGAACTAAGTGTACCGCGGTCCGGCACTCAAGATTTGCATTACCCAACTCAATACTCGCAGCCGTTCCTCGTCCAATGTAAAGCATGTCTATGGAAACAACGATGGTCGTACTGGAGAAACCCTCCTTACACCGCCGTACGCTTTGTCTTCACCACTGCCATCGCGCTCATGTTCGGTACCTTGTTTTGGGATCTTGGCGGGAAAAGGTAAATCGCTGTTGTATACTTGTATCTATATAACATTCGTAAGTATATGTAGAAGCCCATTAGATTTCCCCAAAGTAGTAGACCTGACTCTGATATCATGTGAGAATATATTGAACCTCCCATTATATTCCTCTCCAAAAGAGCAATTGGGGAGAGAATGGAGGTTCCAACTTCCAACATATATCAAGGAGAAATGGTCCAAGTCTAGCCAATGTGGGACTCTAACACCATGATCGGTCATTTCCTTGTTTCGATACTTAACCATTGACATACACTACGCATTTCAGGGACAGTCAACAGGATCTGATAAACGCAATTGGTTCTATGTATGCTGCGGTTATCTTCTTAGGAGTCCAAAATGCATCATCGGTGCAACCAGTTGTAGATGTAGAGCGCACCGTCTTTTATAGAGAAAGAGCTGCCGGAATGTATTCCGCCTTGCCGTATGCCTTTGCTCAGGTAACTTGGTGTATATTTACAATCATAATCTTACTACAACAAAATCATCTTTCTAGGACGTTAGACCTGTCTAAATGTTCTGAATAGATTGTTTTATACGACTTAAATTTATAGATTGTCTGTATGGATAAAGTTTTCTGTGTGGAATCTGTCTGTATAAATTGGGAAAGTTTTTGTTTGGGAGGGTTTTTTGATAGATGGAGGGAGCGTGTTTTTTAATTGGGAGGGTCAGGTTTGGAAAAAACTTTGTTTTCTGCATAAAACCCCCTAGAAGCTTACCACTTTCTATATCATTAAGCCACTACCAAACAGTCTTGTATAGCTGACAGAATAAGCTGCAAGTCCCATTAAGCTCATTAAGCTGCTAACAAACAGGCGATAACATGGCGTCCTATACCGGTATTTTTGAAGTGTCTCTCTATCCGTTGGGTATTCTAACGTTCTTTTGTTGTTTTTTTTGGTAGGTTTTGGTGGAAATCCCGTATGTATGTGTGCAAACCGGAGTATATAGTATCATAGTGTACTCGATGATCGGCTTTGAGTGGACTGCTGCCAAATTCTTTTGGTATGTGTTTTTCCAGTTCTGCTGTTTACTCTACATGACCTTCTACGGTATGATGACCGTCGCCATCACTCCCAACGCCAACATCGCCGCGATCATTGCCGCCTCATTCTACGGGATCTTCAACCTCTTTTCGGGATTCATCATTCCACGACCTGTAAGTTTCATTCTTTCTGTTAAGAGTCCCACATCACCTAAAGTTGGACCATTTTTCCTCTCTCCCCCTGTCTATCTATCTATATTTATAAGGGGGTAGTCATTCATCTGGACAGTATGCGCATATGCACAAGTAATTTGTAAGCAATTTGTCCTGTATCCACATGTGCATAACTCTCCAAAATTTAGAGCATCTCCTGTAGATTCTCCAAAATGGAAAATCAAAATTCAAAATCTCTAAAAAAATGGCATTTAACTCCAACAGCTTCCCTATTTTAGAGATTACATAGTTAATTATATTATTAAAATATTACATACATTTAATGAAGAGTAAATTACTGGTTTAGAAATTGCAGTTTTCGTTCCTATGGTTTGTACTTCATTGCAATTTTTGTCCTTATAATTTAAATTTATTGTTGTTTTTGTCGCTGTTGTTTGCAGTTCTTTACTGTTTTGGACCCTTGTACTTAAACATAGGAATTAGTCAAGGACAAAAATAGCAATAAGTTGCAAACCATAGGGACGAAAAATTGCAATTTCTAAACCATATGGACAAAAATCAAAACTATTAAAAGACCACAGGGACTCTAAATTTGGAGAAATTTACCCTCTCCTTAGAGAATCTATTGGAGCCCCAAATTCCCCCATTTAGAGAATCTGTTAGAGATGCTCTTAAAGGCTTTTTTGGAGAATAGTTTAATGGGGTTTCACATACTTTCACATGGTATCAGAGCCAAACTCGTTTGTTCTAGTTCTTAATTGTTATTTTTTTAAACACGACAGAGCATTCCGGTGTGGTGGAGATGGTACTACTGGGGAAACCCGATGGCATGGACTATTTACGGCATGGTTGCTTCACAGTTCGGGGACTATGAAAATGTGCTTCCAAACGGTGAAACCGTAAAAGGTTATTTGGACCGATATTTTGGTTACAAGCATGATTTTCTCGGGGCCGTGGCCGGGGTGCACGTCGGATTGGTTCTGTTCTTTGCCTTCATCTTTGCTTACTGCATCAGAGCCTTCAATTTCCAGAAGAGATGATTTTGCTTTTAAATCCATCAATTTGCGTAATTAATCGCTTTGTATTAAATCGTGATTTGTATTAATGTAGAATATTTTTATTTTCCCCGAATATGAGTTTGATCGGAAAGGAATGCAGCCACGGCCCGTTTGGTTGTCGGTTTGGATCTTGATTCCCAAAATACCCGTGTTCTTAAATACAAAGTATGTTTAATAGGTGCAGGGGTCCATGTGAACGTCCTTGTTTACGTGGTCTCGATATCCTCGACACCATCTCGGGACTCGAATGTATAGGTGGGCGACATTATGCATACTCTAGAGTCGGTAGAAACTCCTATATAGGGGTGCACAAAAGTCCGACCAACCCAAAGTTAACAGATGTCAAATTGAGTTGTAAAATCTTCAAACCGTAGGTATAAGGTTGAAACTGAGTTACGGTCATATAAACGAAATCCAACCCAATGCACCCAGTACCTTTATATAGACCGTTAGACCATCACCCTTTTTGTATATATGTTTTGTGATTATATATGCAAATTAAGAAAAAAACGGTTGAATTTGATCTACTTAATTAAAGAGTATGAATAATTCGTACCAATTAACTGACAATGAATGAGAGAATATGAGCAGAGAAAACACCATATTCAAGGTAGCAAATATACGAGAATATTTTGATGTACCTAAGTTTCAATCCGACTAACTAAACCCAAACCAAACCTGTACGGTTTGGGTTTGGTTGAGTTGAGATTTTCCAAAACACAAACATTGAATAGAGTTGTTCAAATGTCTTCAACCTGATCAATCCAACCCATGTGCATCCCTACTTGTAGGGGTATTTTAGTGAGAATTTTAAAGTAAAACATATTTTTATATTTGGGGTAACATTAAGCATAGAAACTCAAATGTTCCTGATATTATAATGCAAAAAGCAATGATTGGGGTTGGCAGTTCATCCATAATCTGTTATAAATAGATTTGTAGAATGCATTTTCACTTCATTCACATCTGAATAACCAATATTCAGAAAGAACAACACTAAACATGCATAAACTTCCAACTATTGACTTCACCAACAAGAGAAACTTGAAACCGGGTTCGAGTTCATGGCTCGCCACGTCCATCGAAGCTACTCGTGCCCTCGAGGAATATGGATGTTTCATAGCAGAATATGATAACGTACCTCTCGACCTCAATGGTGCAGTCTTCCAAGCGTTACAAGACTTGTTTCGTCTCCCAATCGAAACCAAAGTTCAAAACAAGTCCACAAAGCCCTTGTATGGCTACGTCGGTCAGATCCCCTTCATTCCTCTCTACGAAAGCTTGGGCTTCGATTACTCCAACACCCTTGATGGAGTTCAAAGTTTCACTGATATCATGTGGCCTAATGGAAACGAAGCTTTCAGGTAATCGTTGTTCTTAATTATCTTTTATAAGTTGACTTATTTTTTGAGCTTATTGAAAAAGCCTCTTTGATAAGCATTTCACTATCTTATTTTCTTTATTTTAGCATACGGTATAGCATAGCTGTTGGAGCAAAAATATACCCTAAATCTCTATTTTATCTTAGCTGTTGGAGATGCTCTCAGCTACTTTTTAACCAAACATGACTAGTTTATCAGCTAACAACTAGCTTTGTTGTCAGTGCAACTCTGCTAGCATACAACAGACTTGTGGCAGAGTTGGAAGAAATGGTGACAAGAATGGTGTTTGAAAGCTATGGTGTGGAAAAGAAGTTGGATGCTCATAGGAAAATGGTGACATACCTTTGTAGAGGGATGAAGTATAGAGGACCAGAGAAGAATGAAACCAATATGGGTTTTGTTGCTCATACTGATAAAGATTTCATCACTGTTCTGCATCAAAACGGAGTCGACGGTTTGGAGGTCAAAGCCAGGGACGGTCAATGGTTCGCCGTCGAGCTCTTGCCTGCATCGTATATAGTCATGTCAGGTGACGCAGCCATGGTTAGTCATGCAACTATCGGTTTTTTGGACACTTAAATTTTATTCTGAGAAAGTTCAGTGAGAACCTTACAACATTTTAAGAATGAGAACCAACTATTTCACAAGTTATTCATGATGAATAACCCTACAATATTCATCAATGAATATCAATGATGAATAACCCTACAATATTCATCAATGAATATCATGTGAATATCATGATATTCATTATGAATATATATCATGATATTCATAATGAATAATTCAACCTGCCCCTTATTCTATATATACCAACTAAAGATTTCAAACATATGATCAGGCTTGGAGTAACGACAGATTGCATTCTCCTTATCACCGTGTTACTATGAATGGAAACGAAACCAGATATTCTATAGCGCAGTTTTCGTTTCTGGAAGGGATAATAGAAACACCCGAAGAGTTGGTTGATGAAGAACACCCTTTGCAGTTTAAGCCATTTGATCATCTTAAATATCTAGATTTCTACAGCAGGGAGGAAAACCGGACACTTGAAAGTGCGATAAGAACGTATTGTGGAGTGTGAGACTTGCAAAGACACGTTTAATCCTATTCGTATTGATATCGATGTCTAAAAGTCTATAAACAAATAGTGTTGTAGTACCTTCTTATTCATGTATGAATAATGTAAACAGCATTAAGGACTAATGGTTCCTTAATGCAGGTGATACTTTGTGTAAGTCTCTATTTACTTCTATGATAATGAAAACTGCATGTTTGTGAACTCAAGGGCAGAAATTAAACCAAACCAAACAAACCGAGTACATCCTGCCAAGGGAAGTTCAAACAAGAACACCTTCATTTTATGAAAACACAAGAACACTCTCATCACATGTGATAATACACGTGATGGACCTAATGATTCGCGCCAAAGGTCGCCCGCTTCTCAGATTTAGTATTGACTACAATATTACATGTGACTGACTATAGTAAAATGGTGTTCTCGCATTTTCATACAATGAAAGTCTTCCCGTATGACCCCCTCCCCAGTTATGAAATACCATTAACTCCATTTATGTTATCAATATCTCTATGCGTGATTCGTTAAGACATTTATTTCTAAGGGCCCGTTTGTAAGCAGCTTAATGATGGAACTCACAACTTATTCGGTCAGCTATATATGACTGTTTGGTAGTGGGTTGATGATATAAAAAGTGGTTTATTTATCAAGCTTTTAGGAGGGAGGTTTATGCAGAAAGCCAAGTTTTTTCCAAACCTACTCCTCCCAATTAGAAAACACACTCCTTCCATCTATGAAAAAACTCTCCCAAACAAAAACATTCTCAATCTACCCAGATAGATTAATCCACATATAACTTTATTCATACATGACTTAATGGAAAACCAACCAAACAACCCCTAAAGATAGGAAATCCTAACCATCCAACGTTATTCCATCCTCGCAATCCATTGAGCCTGCCCTGAATAATCCCCCTTTTGCTAGGTTATTTCCGATTTGATCTTAGAAGGCTATTTTTTCAGGAATTTGAGACCAAGCTTCTAATAAACTTCTATTTTCAGCTAACCCAGCACTTGATCTAAATTACAAAGCTTTAATGGGTTAATAAACCAGCATAAATCAAAGAAGAAAGCATCCAACATATAAATTTCTAATATACATTTTTTTTTATTAACCTGCATATCCAACCAGCTATGTGAGCCGACTAATACTTTGCAGAGCACAGAGTCACCGCATTTGAACCTCCGTGGCCACAAGGGACTTTTTATTCCTCCTTGGATTTGAACCTGAACCTCCGGGTACTTTTGACATTTGGAGCTAAGCTCAAACCAATCAGGCACCACCCTTGTGGTTTAATATACATTTGATATCTCTATATTTGAATATCATAAATGGGAGCAAATATGTATAGGACCACTCATGATTCATATTGATAAGTGATGTTATTGTATTCTACTTATTAAACAAAACAAAACAGCCAGCAAAAGTACACAAATCAACTTCAAACAAGAACTCAACTTTGAATTGTGTTTGTTTTCAACTCTTAATCAGATTGACTTCAAATAAGAAATATTTCATGATAAGAATCTCCAGATGGTGCCATTAGAAGTTTAGGGACCATCTTGATTAGATTACTAGAAGGATGATATATGCAGGGACCATTATAGATGCTTAAAATCATATACCCAGAAAACTACAAGCACAAAAATATATAATCTGACATTCTAACATCAATCTAAGGTAGCGTTTGGTACGCAGACATAATTGGACAGGACTGAACAACGCTTTTCTAAGGAAATCTGCAATGATATAAGCTTGAAGTTGTCCTCTTCGATTTCTAAAGTGTGTGTGTGCACCAACGATAAAAGGGGACCATGAAAACCAGAACACGAAAGCACGACAAACAAAAGTTCGAACTATTTAACTCGTATCTCCACATCAATGCTTATTCGCTTTAACTAAAGAACGATAAGATCAAGTTGAAACTTAGCAATTAAAAGTACAAATCATTTAGCTGTTAAATGACTCTTGTGGTACCAAGTTCTAGTTTTGTTTATTTGAACTGGACCGGTGTTGATGTTGATGTACTACCATATCTGTACTTCTATAATTAATAACTTCAGGATACAATCAAGGGACATACAACAGGGGATAAAACCACCCTGACCAACAGGGTATAAACCATCCAAATACTGGTCCCCATCTTTGTTCAGCATGTCCCTACGACTCCGATTTCCTAACAGTTTCTGTATGCTATATGAGACATATACTCCTATAGGGTCGGCTTCATGGGAAAACCACAAAATTAATTGAAATAATGAATGGTTATTAGGGTGATCCTCAGTTTTCCAACTTTTTTGTGGTTTTCCCGCGAACCTGAGTCTATTCATATAATCCTATAACTAGGAAGCGAGCGATTTAAACGGCGTTCCAGGGTTATACCTACGTCTTGTCCTTTAAATCCTCTCATATATATTTCTTATATATAGAATAAAGAACACTTGATAAGCAATGGGTTCCTTAACTCAGTCCAAGCTTCCTGTTATTGACTTCTCCATAAAGAACTTAAACTCTTGTACTTTAAGTTCTTGGGTCACAACCTGCAGGGATGTTATGCATGCACTTGAAGAATACGGTTGTTTCATAGCTATGTATGATGGAGTGTCTCAAGAGCTTCACGATGCGATCTTCTTGGTATCGAAAGACCTATTTGATCTTCCTAATGAAGTGAAAGTCCTAAACACTTCAGATACACCATCTCATGGTTATGTTGGCCAAGAACCCGTTGTTCCTCTTTACGAAGGCTTAGGCATTGAAAACGCAACCACCGCAGAAGGAGCTGAAAGATTCACAAAACTCATGTGGCCCTCTGGAAATCAAGGTTTCTGGTATGGTTTTCGTAGACTAGGTGCGTGTTCTACGACTTGTATTCAGCTTCTGCTTGTAATTTGTTTAAGTTGCTTGTTTTCAGCGGAAGTGCATTGATGTTCGCGAAGGCTGTAGCGGAACTAGATCAGACGGTAATGAAAATGGTAGCGAAAAGTTATGGAATAGAGGAACACTACAAATCGCTTCTTGGGTCGACAAGTTATCTTCTTCGACTCATAAAATACCGAAGTCCTCAAGATAATGAGAGAAATCTGGGCATTGTTCCTCACACAGATAAGAGTTTTATGTCCATTCTTCATCAGCAAGAAGTGAAGGGTCTGGAGGTAAAGACAAAGGATGGGAAGTGGATTGAAGTTGATCCTTCACCATCTTCTTTCATAGTCATGGCAGGAGATGCTTGCATGGTAGTTTACATAACTAGTTTCACTGTAGTTATTCATATGTGAATGAATATGAAGGATGTGAATTTATGGTGTTTTTCTTCTCTTAGGCATGGACAAATGGAAGAATCGAAGCACCGTGTCACAGGGTGATGATGCAAGGGAACGAAGAGAGATTCTCTCTGGGGCTATTTACGTTCATCAGGGATCTCGAGATACAGATACCTCAAGAACTCGTTGATGACGACCATCCTCTACAGTTTGAGGCATTTGATAACTACAAGTATATTCATTACTATTATACCGATGAAGGGAAGAGATCAAAGTGCCCCATCAAATCCTACTGTGGAATTTGAAGCACCATTTATTTAATTTGCCCTGCAATCTTAGCTATATATAACCAGTTGTGTGTTCACATGTTTGATCTTTTTGTTGTTTCCTTTTGTTCAAGTATTTATCAGTGAATAAATGCATAGATAAAAGTTGTGTTGCGTGTGGAAGTCACTCAAATGTGTCTACTGCTTTTAAGATTGAGTTGTATTGGTTGTACAAATGGAAGGAAAGAGAGGAGGGGTTCAGTCCAAAAGAAAATGAAAAATTGAGGAAAATCGGGTAACCATTCTGGAGAGTATGTGCACATTCATACAAGTACTTGAAGTTGTTTTTTGGTTTTTATGTATGTGTACATGTTATGCACAATGTACATACCAGACAAATTGCTTACAATTACTTATATGCAGGCGTATTCCTCAGTTTTTCATTTGTTTACGGTTTTTCTCTGCAACCTGACCCTATGTATATATATATAACTATACATAGGGGCATATAATCAAATAAGAACCAAAAAAAGATTGACAACAAATAAACTCACTAATCATGTATTGTTTCACAAAGTAACACAAAAAGTAGACATAAAAAACAACACTGTAAATATATTGCAAAAGAGGACCAAAATGATATATGCATAGTAGAAACATATACAGGATAATGATCATGTATAATCATAAAGCTTAATCAGTAATGGATGTTCTTAATTGCCATCTCTTTCGGGGGTTTCATGATACTTCCGGTTTTTGGCATTGAAAATAAACCGATAGAAATCCGAGTCTTTTTTGCATTTGTCACCACCCCCATTCGATAGTACCTGTAACCTCATTCTTATCAATTAATTTCCCTGTTAACAGTTAATCCCTAGCTACCCATAATCTGTTCTTGGATACTTAGGGGTCGTTTGTTTAGTTTTCCATTAAGTCTTGTATGAATGAAACTGTATATATATATATATATATATATATATATATATAGGGGCAGGTTCAAATGAAAACCATGTCATTCTAAAAAACCGTGTAAACCAAAATCGACCAATAGGAAAATTTCATTCTTTTTTAATTAAATTTAATCAATAAGGTTATTTTGGTCATTTTCATTATTTTTTTTGATAAATAAAGAAGTTATTAAGGAATATTAAATAAGGAAATTTAATAATGGAAATTATATAAATGGAAAGATTTAAATATTTTAATATATTATAATATTAATT